CTGGAGTAGGCAATTATGTAACTGATTTCAGGATCAAAACTCCAAATTACAAAAAATGACTCAACAAATAACTCGATTAATATTGTACGTAGTGATCATCGCCCCCTGCAGGCAGATTAATGTCCCAACACTCTTGCAAAGGAGATGCGACTGTCCTCTGCGTTCTCTCACCAGGTTAAGACAAATAAACCTGATCTTTACTCTTAGGTTCTTTCGGTAAAGTCACGTGGGTATAAAATAAAAATCTGATCTTACAAAATAACTGAGTTGGCAAGACTGGTGGTCAACCGCACCGTCGCGACATTCCGACATGTAGAGCCAATCACTGCACAGAATGTAATGTGATGACAATTTTCACCTGCCTTGTCCCTACAAAAATAATAAATGGTTAATGGAATACATTCGATCAGCGGTTCTCAACCGGTGTTCCGCGGACCCCTGGTGGTCGGTGAGGCTACTGCAGGGGGTTCGCGGAAAATAAAAACAGCAGCATCCTCGCCGAGGAAATTTCAAATAGCTCGTGGCATGCGGTGGTCCGCGAAATGCTTGGAGGTTGAAAAGGGGTCCGCACACTGGAAAATGTTGGGAACCGCTGCATTCAGTTAAACATTTTGTCATTGTGATTTATATTAAAGTGTACAAATTCGCGTCTACTAATTGTCCTCAAGTTACTAATTAAAAAATGTTGCCTGCCGATGTAATTATGTAACTCGTCAACCATGGGATGTAATAGTAGAGTAGAATAGGCATTACAGTATACCCGTGGTTGCCATCTGTGCCATTATTTGTCTTTGTACATCTGTGCTGGATTGCACTGCTGCCCTGAAACCTGTTTGGCCCAGGTGACGCTTGTAATGGAGACTTGGTGTGTCAGCGGAGTCTTGCCTGGCCAAGTGAAGTTGATGAGGATAATGATAATTAATCAAACTTTCAATATTTCAATTGGATTGTTTTGAACTTTTAAAGCGACGTAATTACTTGTTTGATACTGCTAACAAGTCGCTTTTCCTTCTGCTGTACCTTAACAAGCCATAGATACCGTACCATGATTTTCAAATGTTTGCAAGACAAGTTATTGACCTTGCTACTCCTGCTTGTCCTTAGTGGCAGGTTTGGTACCACACTGACTGCTGGGAAACCTCCTGCTGGGTAGAGTCGCGTTTGACCGTCACGCAGGAGAGTAAAGTTGAAACGTCATTCTGGACGTTAATTTGTTTGCATGCAAAATGTTCGTGCATAGCAAATGTATATATTTTTATACTAATACCCTCAGTCTCGTGTATGCATTAACCACACCATAATGATGAAATATTCTTCAAGGTTTTTGCTATGCAAGTAGAATAGTGACTGCCTGTTGTGTGTAAGATAAGGCTGCATGGGATATATGTGTGGCACCATGGGGAAACACAAGGGAAGGGAAGTAATTACCCCGCCCATTCCTGTTTGTGATATTTTTTTTGTTTATTAAAGTTGACATTACATCTTGATTTAAAGATTTCGTGACTGCAGGGATTCATATTCTTGATTCTTTCGGTAAAGTCACGTAGAAGGGAAACAATAAAATAATAAAAAATATAAAACAATACAATTCTCACGACGTTTCGACTGCAACACAAGCAATCGTCAGGTGTGAAAACCACAGCAAGAAAATTTTCTTGCTGTGGTTTTCACACGCAAGAAAATTGCTTGTTTTGCAGTCGAAACTTCGTGAGAATTGTATTGCTTTATATTTTTATTATTTTATTGTTTCCCTTCTACGTGACTTTACCGAAAGAACCAAGAATATGAAGTTGACATTGTGAAATGACCACTGTACACGCATGTACCAAGCATGACAACGTGAAGCAGAGATGGCTGCGATGAAAGTGTTCAACTTTTATTTTGGGAGAAACCATCGAACGGGCCATGCCTCATCATTACAGAAGTGTAACATTATGGTCTAAAAGTAAACATTCACCTGTCAATGTGATATGGCACGTGTGCCTTTATCGTAACACGTGGGATTGAATTTTACACCACGTGACGCCATTTGACAATATTGAGTAATTAACACATCATGGTCAGTATCCACGAGTAATGATCTTGTTTTTGAAGTGAGAAATCCCACCCCAGTGTCCCACAGCTGGCTCTGTGGTGGCTGCTGCTATTGAAATGGATCCAACGAGGAGCAACATCACCTGAGCCTTGGGTCAAACAGCAGCAAACAGCGTCCAGAGACGGGCTCTGACCTCATGACCAAGGAGGCAAATGCTGCATGGGTTGAGACGTCCATTGTTGAGACTCTTCGACTTGTATGAATGAGCGATACACTTTTTCCAAATGCTGTGCAGTTACTTTTCTGGAGCCGAGTATTTCCATATAACATTGTTTTAGTTCGGTGGTGTTATTTACTTGATTTAAATTAATAATTTTGAGTGTCAACATTCCAGTTTTAAGATGGTTTTGTGCATATTTAACATGCAAAATATAGGAATAATCTGTTATGGTTCGTAATCTTTCAGTTGTGTTCAAAAGCAGAAGTAACATAAAGTGTCCTGCGCTCTCACACGGAATGCGATATAATGAGAAATCCTTCAGGCTTGAGCTTCAAATATCAAGACGTGAAAACAAAACGCGTGGCTATTTAAATGATCATTAGTAATTTCCAGCTGTGATTAGTGTCTCTCTGAATCGGAGTTTGCCACTATAAATTCAACAGGTGTAACAGAGACTTATTGTGTGAATTGGTTTTTACCTTGCAAAACAAGGACGGGTATTGTATTTTATACGAAAGAAATCTATATTTTTATTCGGTTATATTGTTCAACTTGATGTTGTAAAACAAGTTGTAATTCTGCTTTGGTGTACTTAAAAAGCCCAAATGACAAGCAATGGAACTTGTTCCATATTCCTGCAGTTCTCTTTACCAGCGAACCATCACGTCATCCCTGTTCTGACTCAGATGGAGGACACGCACAGTAGTCGCAACAGTGACCATGGTAGCTGGGAGAAGGGCCGGTTTTAGATGTCTTTACCCCCGGAACACCGGATCAGAGAAGACCTCCCTCCCCTTCTGACATTAAAACAACGTGAGACATAACACTTAATGAAGCTCGTATTGGTCATGTTATTCTTGTTTAAACAATTATACAGAATTAATAAAGTCATATTTCTGAATACAGATTTTGTTTGTTATATTTATTTGGCCTCTGTCGTTTTGGAGGCTGGACAAGTGTGCCATTTCGCTGCACGCTGATGGGGCCCTGCAGCACTCCTCAGCCTTGGGCCAAATCTGTAAGTATCCACAAGTAATAATCTTGTTTTTGAAGTGAGAAATCCCACCCCAGTGTCCCACGGCTGGCTCTGTGGTGGCTGCTGCTATTGGAATGGATCCAACGAGGAGCAGCATCACCTGAGCCTTGGGTCAAACAGCAGCGAGCCGCGTCCAGGCAGGGCCTCCGACTTCATGGCCAGGGAGCCGCAGGGCGCATGGACGCACACCACCAGACTTGACGTGCACGGACGCGAATTTAACATGCATGTTCCAAATGGTGTCAGGTGACTCTTTTATACCTAAGCACGTTCATGGTCATTAATGTTAGTTATGAATTCGTATTTTTATTTAGGTCAATAAATGTATTTTTGAGCACGATAACAGTTGTAACATTTCTTTTTTATTCGGCGCTGAAACAGTAAACGGAAGCGTGACGATGAAGTCGTGCTATAGAGAGAGGCTGGGGTTTGGTTTGGGAGCTGTGGTTGGAAGTGAAACCTCAGCGAGCTGTGGGTGGGATGTCGCCACACTTCAACTGAAGGCGGCAGCAGGAGCGACATAAAACGTGGTGCGTGCTGAGAACTGAGCAGACGGCGCCGTGGCTCTGAGCCATGGACACGGAGACGAGGAGACGTGCGGTGTGGATGAGTGTTGTCATCTGCATCTTGTCCCGCATCAGTGAGTTATTGTTCGCGTGCTGTTATGCACCACACTGTGTATACGTACAGTATGTACGTTCAACTTGTTGCTCACCGTACATTTTAAAACCGTACCGTAGTGTTCAACACTTTATAATTTGCCGTTTTGTCGTTTCACTTTTGAAGCGAGTGTTCATTTACAGGCATCCCCCAGAGAGTATTTTGTTGCTGTGGGACAGGAAGTCACCTTGACGTGTGACAGAAACACTCCAGGATGGTCACAGTACGACAATCCCAATATCAGCGCTATCACCTGGAGGCGGCGTGGTGAAGGCAATGGAGCACCCGATATGGATTTAACAAACTCCCGAGATTTCAGGATAACAGTCATTAAGGATGTTGATCAACATCGGGTTTCTATCCGAATCGCAAATGTGCAGCACAGTGACGCTGGGGTTTACCGTTGCCTGGTTAAAAGCGAAGTTGGAACAGAGAGTCCCATGATGGAAATTATCACAATGGAAGGTAAGGAAATGTGTTACACTATATTGCACAAGCACCCTTCCTGTATGTATGATTATTTGTCGTACATTTTTAATGGTGATATTATTTCATCACATTGTACCCGTGAAGAACAAGTTGTGGTGTAAACGCTGCAAAGAGTTTACACGAGGGTGATGCGTGGCGCTGGTACTGCACGTGAGGAGCCATTCCACTGCAATGCCACCGGCAGATTGTCCTCGCTGCCTCACGTCCTCTGCCTCACCGTTGCACTGCGACTCGTGGAGGTGACACGGCACAGACTTCCTATCGCTCCCACAGTGGCATTGCACCCAGAGTCCTGTGCGGTGCTCTCCTAGCGAAGCCGCGCGTTTACTTGCAGGAGTGTCAGTGTCACAGGTGACGTTGGTACTGATGCAGGCCCCTCACACCGACCACTGTCACACAGCCCGTCAGGTCTCTGTGGTGATCGGGGACCGGTTAGGAGTCGCCCAGACTCGCTGAGCGTCGCTGCTGTGGTCTCGCCCACAAGAGGAGTAGTGGAGGAGTCTGGAGCACGGAGTCACTGCTGATGTCTGAGTTTGTTTTACTGCTTTTGCTTTCTGTAGTTTCAGCAAACCCATCCAGCGTCGTGAGTGAAGGAGAGACTGTCACATTGACGTGTCACATCTCAAACAGTGCCTATGTACAAAGTATTGTTTGGACTCACGGTGGCACTGAGATGAACCCACGCAATTCTGTGCTGACATTACACAAAGTCAAAAGATGTCAAGAGGGAGCATGGACATGTGGTGTCAAAAACCAAACTGGCCAAGCCTCTGCTTCTCACCATTTGACAGTCTCATCACAGAGTAAGTGAATTCAGAAATGAAGCCCTCGGTGAATTTAATTTCACACCGTGATTTTTTAAAATGTATGCTTAGTTTGTATTACCAATGCAATCAGTATATTATAAATGTGTTGAATATGACGTATGTGATGCATCCCTTGTGGAGTTGTAATAAATTAAAGTATTAAAATTGTCAAATATTTTTTGTTATATCAATGTTTGAAGTGTAATAATTTATCTCTTTTGTTATATTTTTGTAGATGTTTGTGATGTAAAGGCACCTGCTCCCAGAAAGTATTTTGTTTCTGTGGGCCAGTCGGTCATTTTGCAATGTGTTGAAGATGATCCAGAATTTAAATGGAAAGATCACCCTTCCTCTGACCTGGCTCTGACCTGGCGATGGGAGAGGCAGGGTAGTGGTAGCGAAACGATTGTCCAGTATCCTAAGCAAACTGGTCAACGGTATGGAGATGTATGGAAAAATACCGCTATACCACTGGTTTCCAGAATAACGGCATTGAAGTCTTATTTTGACAAAGACAACTTCTCTATTCAAATCTCAAAAGTGCAATACAGTGATGCTGGGCTCTACATTTGCCACTTTACTGGCTACTTTAGAACAAGCAGCTTAACAAGAGAACTGATCACAATGCAAGGTAAATTATATTTTACTTTTTGCACAAGCATATGCACTTCAATATAAAAGTGGAATACATTTAATTATTTATTGTGTAAGATTATTTTTTATTAATAGTCTGTGAAGGTAAACTGCTACCAATCATATTAAAGTATTCATGTTGATGGCTGTAATGAGTTTGCTCAATCATAAAACATACTGCTGCTATTGCACATTATGAATTCTTCCAACGTGATAGCACCGCACGTCCGAGGAATCTCACGAGACTGACGATTGCCCCACGATCCATGGAAATGGCAACCCAGGCTTCCCATCACACTGCATTGGCGTCACATCCACAGCCATCGCCCATGACATTCTGCCTGTGGTGTACTGCAGCCACATGTTTGCCGACACATCTCTGAACAGGAGAGTCTGCTGCTGATGCCGACCCATCGTACTCACATGGACAGAGCTCTGTGGTGATGGGGGACCGGTTAGGAGTCGCCCAGACTCGCTGAGTGTCTCTGCTGTGGTCTCGCCCACAAGAGGAGTAGTGGAGTAGTCTGGAGCACGGAGTCACTGCTGATGTCTGAGTTTGTTTGACTGCTTTTGCTTTCTTTAGTTTCAGCAAACCCATCCCGCTCTGTGACAGAAGGGGAGACTGTCACATTGACCTGTCTCATATCAAACAGTGGCTATGGAACAGGTCTGGTTTGGTATCATGGTCAAATTTACATTTCACAAGGCAATCAGCTGACACTGAACAAAGTAAAACGATCTCAACAGGGAGAATGGAAATGTTTTCTATATCACCAGCACAACAGTCCCTTTGCCTCGTACACACTGGAGCTAACATCAACTGGTAAGTCTCCTGTTAAATGTATTTAAATGTAATGTTGTTACCTGACGTGTCGAGTTATTACATTGAATTTTAATCTGTCAAATGTAACCGTTACATATTTTCATGCAGTAAATGTTTTGATAATTACTGTGCATTGGTTAATTCACTGCTGTTTCTTTTATAGGAAGTGATGTTTGGCAGGCACCGGCAGTGAAGAAATATTTCATACAAGACGGTGGGAAGGTCTCTTTGTCATGTGATGAAGCTGATCCTGGATTTCAGTGGAAAGATCATTCACAGCAGACACGCGCTGTCACTTGGAAATGGAGATCGCATGATGGCACAACACAGCGATATGATCAGAACATACAATATCCATCGCAACCGTCTGATTATAGAGATCAGTTTCCTTTAACATTGTCGCAAGTTACGTTTTCACGTGGTGGGGTTTACACATGTGAGTTTACTGGCTACTATAGGACAGGCACCCTCACAATGGAACTGGTCACAATGAAAGGTAATGTGCTTTTGGTTTATATATCATTAAAACACTTTCACACAATAGTGTAACTTCTAGATTAAAATAAATTACACCTGCACATAACACACCATGGTATTCATATAATAACTTTCAGTAATGCTCAGGTAAAAGCTGTTGCATGTTTAATGAGTACGTTTAAATCGGTATCACAGGTAGCCCTTCTGCTGCATGTATGTTGAACTTCTTTCGCACCATACGTAGCCAACCGTGCTAATCGGAGGTGCTGCACATTGGGTCCTGCACTGGTGGAGATGTCTGACATTGGATGAGCCCCTCCTGACTCTCCCTGTCACTCCGTGCCCTCTGGTGACGTCACACGACATGTGGTGCCACATCAGTGGCACGGTGCCCGTGCGATGTCACCCTTGTTCCAGTAGGGCCACGCGATTTCTTGCCGAACTGTTCATGGAAGGGACAATTGTTGTTTCTGGACCTCGTCTGACACTGACTCCTGTCACGTGTGATACTGTTTTAGTGAAACTGCGTGTTTACTTGCAGAACTGTGAGTGCTGCGTAGGCTCCTCACACCGCCCCCTGTCACACAGCCCGTCAGGTCTCTGTGGTGACCGAGGGCCGTTTAGGAGTCGCCCAGACTCGCTGAATGTCTCTGTTGTGGTCTCGTCCACAAGAGCAGTAGTGGAGGAGTCTGGAGCACGGAGGCACTGCTGATGTCTGAGTTTGTTTTACTGCTTTTGCTTTCTGTAGTTTCAGCCAACCCATCCCGCTCTCTGACAGAAGGAGAGACTGTCACATTGACCTGTCTCATATCAAACAGTGGCTATGGAACAGTTCTAGTTTGGTATCATGGTGACATTTACATTGACCAAGGCAATTCTGTGCTGATACTGAACAAAGTAAAACGATCTCAACAGGGACAATGGAAATGTGCTATACATGACCAACAAAACAGTCCCTTTGCCTCGTACAAATTGCAGTTTAGACCAACTGGTAAGTCTACTGTTATATATATATTTAATTGTACTGTTATTACCTTTTGTGTTTTATTATTATGAATTCATAACATTTTAATGTCAAATGTAACAAATACATATTTTCATGCAGTAAATGTTTTGATAATTACTGTGCATTGGTTAATTCACTGCTGTTTCTTTTATAGGAAGTCATGTTGAGAAGGCACCCGCAGTGCAGAAATATTTCATACACGAGGGTGGGGAGGTCTCTTTGTCATGTGATGAATCTGATCCTGGATTTCAGTGGAAAGATCATTCACAGCGGACACGCGCTGTCACTTGGAAATGGAGATCGAATGATGGCACAACAAAGCGATATGATCAGAACATACAATATCCATCGCAACCGTCTGATTATAGAGATCAGTTTCCTTTAGCATTGTCGAAAGTTACGTTTTCACGTGGTGGGGTTTACACATGTGAGTTTACTGGCTACTATAGGACAGGCACCCTCACAATGGAACTGGTCACAATGAAAGGTACGGTAATATTGAGTCATATAAACTAAATATATTCATAAAAATTGTTACTAATTTCTGTTACAAAAATGTATTAACACGTTTCAGCATGCTATGAAAATGAAATGTCGGACGATATTGTTCATGATTGTGACGTAAATGCCGTAGTGAGTTTATGTTCACGTGAACGATTGTTACTCCTGCTGCACATACAAGCTGTCATTGCTGTAGCATTCAATATTGGATGCGCATCATCTGATTCTCATTGCCCATCATGCCATCGCCCTTGCAGATGAGAGCCTAAGTGTTCCGTCATGTAAACGGTCGTGTCACAGCCACATTCACGGGAATATTCCCGTGTTTTTTACTTGCGGAACTGATATATTTTACAGTTATTGCTTTCCCCAATAAAAATGCAGTTGCACTGGTATTAGATTAACATGTTTTATACAGTGATGTAGTCCAAATTATTGAAGAGACATCATACAATAGATATGTATAGTGTACTTACGTATATTTTCACAATATTTCATGCTAATTAAAACAGGTCTAGTTTTTTTCAAGTTGCGATATGGAGAGTTCACGTGAGAATGACGAGTAGCGCTGCTGCTGTTGGCCATTCAGACTCCTGCTGTGAGTTCACGTTCACAATCAGGTTTTAGGTCGAGGGATTTGGGATTAGGCAATTCCTGGGCCATTGCTTCTCGTGATCAGTGGACACGTGGTCTCCTCTTCACCCCTTCACCATCCCCACCCTGGAGTCTCTGTGCTCTGCTGCTGTAATCACGATTAGAGGAGCAGTGCAGGAGGGATTCCATGATCTCAACTGCGCTGTGAGGCCTCCAGGCTCATATCTCCTGGAATCTCAGCACAGATGTGGATTCCACGTGACCAGGGATAGGCCATACCTCAAAATTCAGAATGTGTTGTGCTATAGTTCGGACTGCTGAGTCAATGAGCCGTAAATATGTATTCTTGTTTCGTGTTATTTAGTTTCATCCAACACATCCAACACCGTGGCAGAAGGAGAGAGCATCAGTCTGACCTGCCAGCTCTCTAACGACTCCTATGCACACATGGTCAGATGGATTCACAATGGGATTGAGATCAGCCATCAAAGCAGCCTCGTGTTGGTTAAAGTGAAGGCTGCTCAGAGTGGGTTGTTGAAGTGTTCCCTGAAAAGGGAGAGTGGAGAGATCTCAGAGGTAGCGTACAATTTGAACGTGCGGAAAATTGGTAAGTACACATCTCACCAAACTTCAGTTCCATCATAAACACACTGCAATCACATACTGAAAATAAATACTCTCATCAAGTGTGTTACGTTTCATCCTATACATATAAACTGCAGCTATTGCCATCGTTCTAAATTGAAAATGAAATTAATACACATGAAAGAAGACTCTTGCCCTTATCTTTATCCACAAGGTAAGGTATTTATTTCACGACACGGGTCCACACCTTCCATCTCGCTCTCTCTCCTACAATGCCCCGAACTCCGACTCCAACTCCCTCTTTTAACCTCTTTCTGGTTCCGCACCTCGTCACACTCCGTGTCCACCAATCATCACCTCTCTTACCCTCACCTGGCCTAACCATCCCACCTGACGCTCACCCAACCCTCCAGTTCTTTTCCCTTTTGAACGTTCCGAACAATCCCCTTGCTCTCCTGTGCCCTAATCAATCAGAGCGTGGAGTGTTTACTCCAGACTTCCAGATTCCTCCGTCTCAGGGATCGTGTGGGACAATCACTACACACATCGGACATAAAGTTAAATTGACTAAAGTAATTTGTAAGCTTAACACAATTTCCATGCTTATACCTTCAGGTGCAAGGTGTGTAGCTGTATTGTGGCATCCTGTTTGTTTGGTAATGAAACCATTGTTTTAACACGATCTGCAGGTGCAGAGCAAAACGCACCTAGGAATTACGCGGCTAAAATTGGTGAAGGAACCACGTTGCCCTGCACCGAGTCTGACCCTCGGTTTGTGTGGAGGAGCTCCTCCAATGAGTCCCGTTCGGTCACCTGGTACTGGAGGCCACGTGGTGACAGCACAGTCCGTACGATACTCGCGGCCCACCCAGCCGGACCTCACGCTGCATTCAGTTCCCACCTCAACTCCCACGTGAACATCTCGTCCTCCGCTTTTGACGACGACGACTTCTCTCTGACCATCTCAGTGGTGAATGATGATGCAGGGGGGGTTTACACTTGTCAGGTTGAA